TAGAAAGGGTTAGAGAAAGTATCCTGGAGGAAGAAAAGTGTTTACATCAGACGAGAATAGCGAATAGGAATTAATAGCGTTGAAAGTGGAGGATGTTCTAAATAGAGGGAGTAAAGGAGCTCTGGTAGTGTAGTGGTTACGAATCGGACTGCTAATCTTACAGTCAGCAGTTCAAAACTACCAGCTGTTCTGTGGGAGAAGACTGAGGCTTTCTGCTCCTGTAAAGATTTACAGCCTTGGAAACCCTGTACAGGGACACTACAAGTCAGAACCGACTCCACGGCACATAAAAACAACACCAACAACAATAAGAATAAACATTGGGAGATAATAGAGGAATCGCCCTTGTGTAACTTATGACCAAGGAGCTCTGGTAATGTAGTGGTTATGAATTGGGCTGCAAATCGCAAGGTCAGCAGTTAGAAACTACCAGCTGTTCCGTGGGAGAAAGATGAGGATTTCTGCTCCCATAAAGATTTACAGCCTTGGAAACCCTTACAGGGTCACTATGAGTCAGAACCAACTCCACGGCACATAACCACCAACTTATGACCAATGCCAATTTTTCAAGTTTTCTTTAAAGGTTTCAAAGTTTTTCAAGAATTTTAATACAGTTTTAAACTTACAGAAATGTAAGAATAGCATAAGAAGCTCTCATCTACCCTTGTCCACTTGCTCTATAATTCTCTTTCTCTTCCTAGTGCATACATTCTCATACAACACACACTTTAAAATGTTTCCGAATCATTTGAGAGTAAGTTGCAAAATCATATCTAAATGCCTCAGGACATATTTTCTAATAACAGGATATTCTCTTTAATAACCACTACTTTACAGTCATTAATATAAAAAAAAATAAACATCAACAAAACTATTAATATCCAATTCATAGTTCACATTGAAATGTTTCTGATTTTCCCAATTGTATCCTTTATAGCTTTTTTTCCCCCCTCACTCTCTGGTCCAATCCAACTCTGTGCATTGCACTTAGTTGTCGAATCTCTTTTAGTCTCCTTCAATCTTTCTTTGTCTTTCATGACCTTGCCATGTTTTGAAGAAACAGGTAGGGATTTGTAGACTGTCCCTCAATTTGGGCTGGTGTGATGTTTTCATGATTAGATTCAGGTTATGCATTTTGGGCAGGGATATCACAGGAGTACTGCTGTATTGTATCAGCAGGCACAAGATATTAACTTGTCTCATGTTCACTTTGATTGTTATGTTAACTGATAATTTGGTCAATATGGTGTCTGTTGATTTTCTCCTCTTAAAGTTACTATTTTCCCTTTTTTACTAATAAGTTATTGAGATACATAATTAGAAATATACTTTGTATGGTTACACAGTGTCTTTTTGCTGTGTTCTCTATAGATGCAAAACCAGTGAAACTTATATGTGGTGGTGGTGGTTGTGTGCCACAGAGTTGGTTCCGACTCATAGTGATCCTCCATAGGGTTTCTGAGGCTGTATATCTTCACGGGAACAGAACACCTCATCATTCTCCTGCTGAGCAGCTGGTAGACTTGAACTGCTAACCTTGCAGTTAGTAGCCCAGCTCATAATCCACTATGTTACCAGAGCTCCTTATGTATATATAAAGAAAAGTTAATATCAAGGAAATGGCTCACACGGTTGTAGATGTGGGAGAGTCCCAAGTCTGGGTCAGATGAACCAAAATCAACAGGCAGGCAGGTAAGGAGGGCAGAAGAGAGGCAGGCAGGCAGGCAGGTCCAGCAGGTAAGAAGGCAGGCTTAAGACTTCCAGGTTTAGCAGGTAATAGAGCAGATCACAGTGTTTCTCTGCTATTCATAAGGTTTTCAGTAACTAAATGTTCAGAAGTAGTTCGTCACTCCTTCTTCCTAGTCTGTCTTCATCTGGAAGCTCATCTGAAACCTGTCCACCATGGGTGACCCTGCTGGTATTTAAAATATTGGTGGCATAGGTTTCAGAATCACAGCAACTCACAAGCCACCACAGTACGACAAACTGACAGACAAGACAACATTCTTATCAATGGAGAAAAGATTGAAGTTGTCAAGGACTTCATTCTTCTTGGGACAACTGTCAACACTCACGGAAGCAGCAGTCAAGAAATCTAACTATGCATTGCATTAGGAAAATCTGCTGCACAAGACCTTTTTAAAGTGTTGAAAAGCAAAGATGTCAGCTTGAGGACTAAGATGCACCTGACCAAAGCCATGGTATTTTCAATAACCGCATATGCATGTGGAAGTTGAACAGTAAATAAGGAAGACCGTAGAAATCAAATGACTTATTGCATTAGGCAAATCTGCTGCACAAGACCTTTTTAAAGTGCTGAAGAGCAAAGATGCCAGCTTGAGGACTAAGGTGTGCCTGACTCAAGCCATGGTATTTTCAATAACCTCATATGCATGCGAAAGTTGGACAGTGAATAAGGAAGACCGTAGAAGAATTGATGCCTTTGAGTTGTGGTGTTGGAGGAGAATACTGAAAGTGCCATGGGCTGCCAAAAGAACCAATAGATCTGTTTTGTAAGAAGTGCAGCCAGAGTGCTCCTTGGAGGCCAAGATGGCCAAACTTTGTCTCTCATACTTCAGACATATTGTCAGGCGGGACCAGTCGCTAGAGACGAATATCATGTTTGGTAAGGTGGAGGGTGAGAGAAAAAGAGGAAGACCCCCAGTGAGATGGATTGACTAAGTGGCATCATCAATGGGCTCAAGCATGGCAACAATAGTGAGGTTGGCCCAGGATCGGGCAAAGTTTCATTATGCTGTGCATAGGGTCACTATAAGTTGGCACTGACTCGATGGCACCTAACAACAACAATAATAGCAGGCTTCTGGTTTAAGTCCAAAGAACTGGAGGTCAGAAGATGAGCCAGATGCAAGGTCCAGACTCAGCAGAGAGCAAGCAAGCTTTGCCCGAGTGTCTGTCTAATATATTGGAGATAGTCCACAATCCCAAGGAAATGTCCTTTCAATTGATTGGCTGCTCATAGCTGACATCATCATAGAGTTAATTGCATTATATTAGATCTCATCATGGAGATAACTACATCTCAACTGTCAAACCACTGAGAATCCTGGCCCAGGTGATACAAAACCTTACCTATCACACACACACACACACACACACACATACAAGGAAACTTCAAAAAGTTCACAGAAAATAGAATGAAAAGATAATGGCATTTTCCCAAGAACTTTTTGAAGCCCCTACTATATATGCATGCAGAACTGAAATATAAGTTTTATGAAAACAAATGCCTTTTTTTTTTGTATTAAGAGTTATCTTAGTTTCTATTTTGTTTCAACTCACTTGAAAATAATACTTGTGACCTAGCAAATTGATTAAATAAACTAATGGTTTCTATTTGAAAGGACTTCTCTGATGGAAATATCACTTTGGATCATTTACATGGGAGTGGGCAAAACTGACAACAAGAAGTCCACGATAATTTTTTGCTATAATTCAGGTGAGAGAGGTGGGTGGATTTGGGAGACAAATAAGTAGATTGAGGAATTTGAGCTAACAGACTTTGACGGTTGATTACACATGTTGTTGTTGTTGTTGTTATGGGTAAATAGGGAAGACCAAGAATGAGAAATTTCTGACTTGGTCTCTGGGGAGTACGGTGGTGCTCCATTGAGATCAGGATGCCTGGAGGGTCATGGTTTCGGCTGCATCAGTTGAGTGTGAATTTTTGGGACATTGGATAGGAGTGGTCCAGTGAGCAGTTGGTTCCATGGTGCTCAGGATGCAGATTTGGGTTGGATTTCACCGGAAGGAGATGCTATAATGTAATGTCCATTTGAAGCAGGAAGCAGCAGTTAATTCAGATGTTCTGAAAATATTTCCAGTAATTTGGTGTTGAAAGAAAAAGTAAAACAACACACAGAAGCCAAAACAAATAGCAAGGCAATCAACTAACCTAACTTTTCTAGAATAAACTTCACTTTTCAGCACTTTTTCCTCTGTCTCCTTTGGTTAAATGTTCTGTAAAGTCCTGTAATATGCATACAACTATTGAGAGCGAAATGTGGGGAAAAATGTACACTTTTGCATTATATAGAAACAATGCTGGTTTAAGTCACAATTAAATTAGCGTGGTCCTTCCCAGATGCTGGTCCACAGGTTTAATCTGCCACATCCAACAAAAAGCAATTTTCAAGTACAGATTCTGGAGATTAACACATGTTTGGCTGCAGAAGATGCTTTTTCAAGTTTCACGGGATTGAGAATGCCTGGGGAAAAAAAAAAAAAGAGGGGGATTTTCTAGTGGAAAAGAGTACGATGTGAGAATTTTCATACAGTGTTGCTAATTATGGGCCTTCCTTTCCTCAGTTGGCGGTCCCCATCTCCATCCTCCTTTTGCTCCCTTTCCTCTGATTTCCTCTCTTTTCTTTCCCCCCTTCCCCTGAGTTATTCTGGGATTAAGGGCAGGGTTGGCCCAGTACACAAACGCAGCTGGCTGCTACGTTCAGCCTGAGCCCTGCTGTGCAACCACGTCAGGAATTCCAGTAAGTTGGCAACACTGGAACACAAAGACAACAATAATGAGGAAAACCCTTCAGTGCAGAAAGGAATGTTTGGAGCCCCGGCTGCTACAGAGAAAGCACACACGCACGCGCACGCACACACACACACACACACACACACACACACACACACACACACACTTTTACATTGACCCTCGCTAGTGCCTGTGCGCCCGCCTACCTTAGCGCGCTTTCACGCCCACGCACACGCTGAGAGGGAGCCCAGCCCTCCGGCGCGCGGTCCTCTGTCCCTCCCACCCGCTAGCCGCTCTTTGTAACGCGGAGGTGCGGAGACGCTCATTGACTATGCAGCGCGGCCCCGGCGGGCGTTGCAACGTCGTGACCCCGGCGCAGTCTCGTACCATCGCTCCGGCCTCCCTGAACCGGCATAAATCACCCGCGGAGACTGGAGCCTAGCATCTCTGCTCCTTACAGCGCCCCCCCCCCCCCAGTCATCTCTCCTCACTTCTCAGCCCCATGGCCCCTCTAGCCCCCAATCCGTCCTTCTTTCGGCGTCGCACAAACACAGTGCTAGGAGGCAAGTAGTGTCCCAGAGACTGGCCGGAGCAGAAAGCTGGATTTCCAAATCTAGCTAAGAATTCTCTCAGTCCTTTCTCAGAGCTCTTAAGTGTCGTTTCTCCTTTACTTGTCTATCAGAAACAACATCTATGTTGTTGTTGAGTGCCTGGAGTCAATTCCGACATCTGTCTAAACTCCTGACCAAAATTGCACCAATTCCCGAAGCCAATTGAAACTTCGAACCTTTAAGATCAGCAGAGGCCCAGGGAAAGGGGGCTGACAGTTACTGGCAGGTTCTTGCCTCTGGAGATGACGTGGAGGTCTGTGACACAGCTGGATGTGGGGGTTGGGGGTGGGTGGTCACCAGTACCCAGGGCATCTGCCTTCATTGACCCTCTAGTTGTGAGAAAGGACTGTTGACCACGGCCTCCTGGGACCAGGACAGGACTCTCAGGTCCCGCAGCCAAGTTAGATCAGGGGCTAGGATGGTAGATTCTGGGTTGGCTCCAGACCTACAAAAACCACCTTCTCACATTGAGCTCCCAGGGCAGAGTAATAGTTTGCACTAACTCTCCTTTCTTCTGTGGGCTCTAGTGTAATATACCAGCTCAGATCGAGTCACTAAGGGCGAGTAGAAGGTTAACTCTCAGCGTTCTGAAGGCAGCGTGTTCAAAGAAGGGTGCCGCAGGAGTTCCCAGAACTCCTTGTTTTTAGTCCTGGTGTGGCGCTGTGGGTTAATGCGCCAGGTTGGCAGTTCAAGCACACCAGCCACTCCTCGGAAACCCTCTAGAGGGTCGCTATGGGTGGGAACCGACTCGACGGCATTTCACAACAACATAAAGAGGTATCCACACGGAGAAGTTCATTCTTTTCTATTTTACTTCAAAGTGCATTGCTCCCCAAATGCAGACTAGTAAGAAGTATGATTTATCCTTGACACTTGTAGTTGTGGTGGTTTTAAAATGCCAAACAGGGATCTAACCCCTACTTCAACGTTTTATTAAAAGCTCCACCTTGGTAGCTTCAACCCTATCAAGGGAAATCTTGGTAACCAACAGATTTCAGACCAGGAATGGAGGTGAAATATCTCTCCAGTAGCTCCTTAACTCTTTCCTTTCCCTCTACCCTTTCTCTTCTCGGTTTCCCGTTTTCTTTTCTCTTCTCTTCTCCATTATTTTTCATTCTTGGTTTGGTTTCTAAGACTGTCTGTGGCAGACTCCTCTGTGAACCACCTAACCCACTCCTGCGCTAAGGCGAATCCTGCGAAGAGGCCAGCGCGTGCCCGTGTATGTTTGAGGAGTGCCTGTGATGAGTGTGCGTACATGTGTAAGAGTAGCTGTTTGTCAATCACTGTGGAGCGTGTGCCACTGTGTGTGCGTCAATGTCAGTGTGAAATCGAGTACTTATGGGTGTGCGTGAGACTCGTGCATTTTGAGCGGGCGCGTGTGTTGAGTCCTAACTCCTCCTAGCATTGCAAAGTGCAGGGGGCGGGTCGGGCGGCAGGGGGCCTGCCCCGCTGGATTCCCGCATGCTAGTTCCGGGGCGGTCGGGTCTAAAGGGCTTTATACTCTGCCTGGAGGGTGGGGACTGGCGCGGGTAGAAAACGGGATGCTTCGAGGGTCCAGACCGGCTTTGGGTCATTGGGAGCAGACCGCGGTGCGTGCCTAAGGAAAGCTTGCTAGCAAAGGCTCTGCTGGTGCTACGTACGACGCGCGCCCACCTCCCGGAGAAGGAACTGTGAGGCTCGGGCAGCGGCGGGCACGCGTGGAGACCGTCGCAGATATGCAGTGCCGGACGGCAGCGGCTGCGTGCGCGCCGCTGCTGGTGTTTGCCGTCTGCCTAGCATCGTTGGCCAGCGGCGAAGGTAAGCGCGCCAGCCTGTCCCAGCCCCGCGCAGAGCCTGGAGCTTCCCGGGTAGTGACTGAGTCCAGTCCGCAGTAGGGCGGAGGGGAGTGCGCCTGGGCAGGGGCCGGGGGGCAGGGCGGCGGCGCTGCAGCGGCTCCCGCTGGGGCGCTCAGGTTGCCCAGCGAACGGCTAGCGGGAGCGCCCCTCCTTCCCTTTCCCTCC